GCCGGCAGGGTTGCCCGGGGAGTGTCCGGGCGGGCCGGGAGGGGCTGCCCAGGCTCCGCGCCTACCCAGCACCGCGGCCGGCGCCCGGCCAGGAGGATGCGCGGCGCCGGGCTCTGAAGCATGGAGGGGGTTCTGTATAAGTGGACCAACTATCTCACAGGTCAGAGGGCTCGGGTACCCCCGGGGGGGGGGCGGTGGCGGGGAGAGACGGAGGCCTTGGGCGGGTATATGTGGGGAGGCTACGGAAAAGGAGGGTCAGGGGCCCTTCCCTCTGCCTGGCCTGCAGTGACCCTCGCAGAGAATGGGCTCCTTTTGCTTCCCGGGCTTAATCCCTCACTCAGTCCCTTGATGGAACTGGCCACTGCAGGGGACGGTTCGAGACTGCGCACCTTCCTAAGGGTAGGAAGTGAGCCTGACCGCTTCTTTTTCCGTGTAATAATACTTATTTCCTCCTGTGGCTTCTGTAACAATTTCCAGTTACTCTGCATGTGTTGGTGCAGTCTTCATCCTTATTCACACTTGATTCGGCATTTTGTTCATAACTGAGTTGTCAGGGTACAGGACTAGAATGGATCCTGTAAGATCAAGATTTAATTTTAAGAAATCCTTTCTCTATTTCTTTTTAAATTTATAGGAAATTTTAGCACGGTTTATTTTAAAAGTTGTCTTGTTGAAGTTGTTAAACTGTCCCCAGATAACATTATCTTAAGAGTTGGTTGTCAGTGAGCTGTCTTTATGTTTTGGAATTAAGGTAAGTGTGAGAAATAGTGGAGGACAGTGCAATGCACAGAAGTAGAACAGTCAGTGTTATCCATGAAGTGGGTTGGAAAGAAAAACTCCGAAATGTAGAAATGAGAGACCCGCAGGGAAGGGGCTTTTTCCATGACACCAACAGCCTGGCTCATTTAAAGAGCCTTAATTCTGAGTTGTAGACCCATCTCTGCTATCAACCACTGGTATGGACAAATCACTTACTCTCTCAAGATCTCAGTTCATGAAGTAGAGGATGATCAGTTTATCTTGAAAGGTGGCGTCCAACTCCAGAATTCTATGATCTCACCACATTAGAGGAAAGGAAATGGGTTTAAAGTAAGATTAAGCAGGAAATAGATTTCTTGTTCCAGTATAATAGGCATCTTGACTTGCTACCCACTTACTTACTCTGCCCAGAGTATTGAACCTCTTGGTAACTGCATGGTATGCTCAACTTGTGTCCACCCTGACCTTGTGCAAAATCTGCACATAAACAACTTTAAGGCATAAGCATTGACTATGGTTGCCCGCCCCTTCCTTCCTTCCTTCCTTCCTTCCTTCCTTCCTTCCTTCCTTCCTTCCTCCCTTCTTTCCTTCCTTCCTTCCTCTCTCTTTCCTTCTTTCTTTCCGATTAATCGGAATGCTAAAGCCTGATTTAAAGCAGCAAATGCTTTAACGTTTATGATACATGCATGTTTTATTTTGCTCACACTAAAATGTCAGTTTGTTTCTATAAATAACATGTTTTAGCAGGGAACTTTTAAAAAATGAGATAAATATTTTTTCTTAAGCATTTTTGTTTGGGCAGTTGTGAGAACAGTTACGCTGTTTAGTTGAGATATGGTATTAACTTTAAAGACAATGGTTTCTATTCTTTGAGATGCAAATGATCATCTCATTGCAAACTTTCATAAGCATAGTGTCAACAGTGTCTTGGGAGGAACCCCTTATGCCTAGCCTAGAGCAATGGGTGATTACTGACATGAGTCATAATTTATTCCGGGAGCGAAATGTGGTCTTGGTGGCCATCTTTCTCATCTAGGGCGCTGAGCACCAGCTGGTTGAGCTTTTAACCACGTGTGCTTAAGCTTTTAGTCTTTGCAGAGCATTTAAGCAAACTGCTAGTATGCATTGTAGAAGCTTGCTGAAATGAAATCTTTTGTTTGGAAGAATTCCACCTTAAAAATACAAATTTGATTCAGTGGCATGCTGACTATTAATTTTAGTTCATCTTAGGTCAGAAGAATGAGCAGCTGTTCGTACTGAATGATTTTTTTTTTTTTAAGATTTTATTTATTTATTTGACAGAGGGAGACAGAGAGAGAGAGAGGGAACACAAGCAGGGGGAGTGGGAGAGGGAGAAGCAGGCTCCCTGCTGAGCTGGGAGCCCGATGCAAGGGCTCTGCAAGGGCTCGATCCCAGGACCCTGGGATCATGACCTGAGCTGAGGGCAGACGCTTAACGACTGAGCCACCCAGGTGCCCCCGTACTGAATGATGTTGAAGGAAACTTTCAGTTTCATGACAGTGTTCTTTGAGAATCTTTTGTAGAGAATAAGGATTTCAGTAACATTTGGTAGTTTGAGATAAAAAGAAAGTTTTGTTTTTTAAAGAATGCCTATGAATTTTTTTCACAGAGACATAGTCCTCTGTTATATAGATGTGTGAATCAATTAGATTTTTTAAAAAAATTTATTTATTTATTTGACAGAGAGTGACACAGCGAGAGAGGGAACACAAGCAGGGGGAGTGGGAGAGGGAGAAGCAGGCTCCCTGCTGAGCTGGGAGCCCGATGCAAGGGCTCTGCAAGGGCTCGATCCCAGGACCCTGGGATCATGACCTGAGCTGAAGGCAGACGCTTAACCCAGGCACCCCTCAATTAGATTGTTTTAATTAAATATTTCTTCAAAAAGGTGTGTAGCAATAACAGTCTTCATTATTTTAATATATTTAACCATGGTCACCTTTCAAGTTGCTGCAAATTCTAAATGAGTCATTTTGCTCATTATTTGTTTTAAAGAGATATTGAATCACAATAATGCAGGCTTACAAAATCACAATTTGACTTATAGGCACACTGGACTTGGGGTGGAGTGTACTTTTACCACCCTGCTTATAATTTGTTTGCCACGGTGAATTAGTGTTTGGAAAGATAATGTTTTTACCATTTCTGTGCATGTTCAATATACAATATACTCTCAGGCAATATACTGCATATCTTTACTCTCATGGATAACATATAATATCTCACTTTTCTGGTGTTTAATCACTCATTTAATCGTTGATACATTTTTTTTTAAAGATTTTATTTATTTATTTGACAGAGAAAGACAGTGAGAGAGGGAACACAAGCAGGGGGTGGGGGAGGGAGAAGCAGGCTTCCCGCGGAGCAGGGAGCCCGATGTGGGGCTCGATCCCAGGACCCTGGGATCATGGCCTGAGCTGAAGGCAGACGCTTAACGACTGAGCCACCCAGGCGCCCCCGTTGATACATTTTTTTTTAGCACCTGTTATGTGCCAGGCACCATTATAGGTGCTGGGAATGCAATGACAAACAAGATGAAGTTCATGTACCAAAAGAACTTACCTTTTAATTTGCTAGGCCTCATTAGGGGTTATAGTGTTTCATAACAAGAGTTTTCCAAGTGTTTGAAACGTATTTTAATTATTTTGGATATCCAGCTTTCTGAACTGTATTATGACATTCCCTCTTGTGAAATTTAACCTTTTTATGATGTCATTTCAAAAGTGTTACAGGAAAAGCCGTTTGGAGAGGTACGTCCTGGGTCTGTATGGGGGGTAAGAATGACTCTCCCATTGGCCACTGTCTTGGTACTATTTGGCCCTGGAAAAACTGAATTGATTAAGCATATAGCAGGCTATGTCTAATGTGACCAGGCTGAACTGTGATTTAATAGTTACAGAAAGAACAAGGACAGTCACACTGCCTTCAGAGAGGCACTGTGGTCATGGTCACTGTGTTATTAATCAGTGAACTGTTGTAAATTAGTAGCATGCTTGATAAGATTTTGGGGTACACTGAGTTTGGCTTGCAGGAGTGGCAATTGAACTCTGAAGAAAGCCATCAACCTCATCCTCAGCTTTGCCTTAGAGCGAAGTCTATGACAGTTGTGTGATCTAGTCACTGAATAAACACAAATGAAATGAATGATTGCAGTTTCTAGCATTTCTGCCTGAGCTGTGCAGCAGCAGGGCAAGGAGAGAGGGAATGTGGGAAATCCATGCTCTCACCACAGAATGTGCAGCTTCTGTGGAAGAGACTAGAATTCATTCAGCACTCACTTGGCAAGGGAGGGAGTTTGCTTAGGCAACATTAAGCGGGGGAAGGTCCCATTGCAGAATTAAAGGGCTGGGTGGCACCTGAGAGGTCATCTTGTTCAATCCACTCGTTATGGAGACTGAGAATTTTTGATATTTATTGAAATGATTTGTTTCAGCTTACCTAACTAAAGAGTGAGAATAGAGCTGGGGCTAGAATCCATGTTTCTGTTGCTTTTTCATCACATTGAAACCC